TTCAAGGTTGAGTCAAAATGGTGGCCTTCTTAATGTTGTCTTGATAATTGTATGACTTAAATTTGTGTTTGTACAACAGAATGGGAGTATGACAGCTCATCCGGCTACTATTACAATCAAAGTAATGGATGTTCCTATGATCCTAACTCTGGCTTCTATTATACAGATGTTTTAGGTAAATTTGCTTTCCCAGAGATCCAATAAGCTACCCCACACCTTTTTTTTTGGCAGCTTGTTTAATTGAATGAAATGTGACAGGTAGGTGGGTAACACAGGAAGAGGCGCTTGCTGCAACTCAAGTTTCTTCAACGTCCATTTCAAAGAAACCTTTAGCGAAAGCACCTGTATCAACAATGGGTGCTGGATCTTCAGAAAATAAAAGCACAGAATCTCATCAAAGTGGTCCTCCACCAGGACGTGTTGTTTCAACCCCTCCAAATCCCATGAGATCTGCTAAAGGTAAACCTTCTTCACTAATGGTTAACAAAAGGAAAAGGGAGAATGAGAAGCCAAAAGCTGTCACTGAGGAGGAAGCAGCAGCACGCAAGGCCAGGGAGGCTGCAAGGAAGAGAGTTGAAGAGAGAGAGAAATCACTGCTTGGTCTTTATAAGCATTGATTTGTGTATCTTTATCAAACATTTTCTCGCTGAAAGGAGGTGAGTTTTCAGTATGATTTTGTCTAGTCTGAATTCTAAACTATTAGTCAGGAAGCTATCAAGGAGCCATATTGAGTCTTTGTATGCTGTAAGACTTCACTGTGGTGGGTTCTTCAAGGTGCCTTGTTGGTTCATTTTATGCCCTTATACTTTAGTGAATGATGTTCTTTATGGGAAATTCTATTTTGTGCTAAAGATGTACACTTTTTGTTGACTTGAAATATTTGTCGAGTTTTATTCACTTTACGTATTATCTTGTTAGACCATCAAGGTCGTGCTATTTTTATTGAATGATCGCATGAGTAACTTTTCTAAAGAAAATTCGTTGTTTTATTAGTTGGATTCTTCTGATATGCAAGTCACTAGGGAAAATTCTCAACCTCGCTATCCAATTTCCTTAGAAGTACATCTAGCTGGTGTAGCACAGTAGTAACTACTAGTAAGTTGCATTAGAATGGAATTCAATGTTCTCCGTGTTGGGATCAGGTCCCTTTTTAACTAATTTCATTTTCTTCTCTGTGAAAAGATAGAAAGGGGTCAAGGGCTGTTGTGGTTTTGTTATCGGTCATTAGAATTGACCAGAGTTGTCATCTTATATTAAATGCAGGAATATTTGACAAGGCGATGCCAAACAAGTGTGTTGAGGATTGTTCAGTGACATTTACAACATTCAATCATCCAAAATTCACCACACAATGCTAGGCTGCGATTGTGGTAGTCTAATTGCTCTGCCAATTACTTGACTGACAGTTTATTACATTAAATCCCTTGCACAAGGACTCTGTGTGAGGTATGCAACCTAATCTATATTCATTCACTTTATCCAGTGAGCATCGGGAAGTTGTATGGTTGTGTAGTATCATGTGCGGTTTCTCCCAATTATAAAACATTTATAACCTGTAAATGTATGGCTATGTAGCTCAATGAAGATATTTGGTTCAAGAACGAAACTGATTTCTTATTATTTCCGTTCTGTTATAACCTGCCGTGTTGATTTCAAGATCAAGTTATCCCTTTGCCTTTTGTCTTCTCCACACCCCGGCGCCCACCTAGTTGAGAGAAATTGAATGAAAAGAACATCTTCTTGGTTAAAATGTGTTTTTATTCTCTATGAGGAATGCTTCGTTTCCTTCAATTTTGTTCCTTTCTATGCATGAAATTAATTGTTTATGCGTATGAAGACCCAGGCCACAAATATGGTTGACATTGACTTGGGTGGGTCAGTTTTATTTGACTTTGAATGTCAAATAAATCAGCTGTGATTGTGAAATTAGTAGTAATTGGCGTTCCAGTCACGTGGTTGACTGATTCATTTTGGACTTAAAAAAGCGCTATAAATGCCTATACAGTACGAGCTCTTTTGTGTTTCTTTCTTTCTGGACATCTGATTCTTGTAGCACAATGGGGTCAATTGGTTCACACAAGTCTCTCCTTTCATTAATTATTTTCAGTTCTGGATTGACTTACGCTACGAAAAAATAGCAAAGACACAAAATTTAATGACTTAAAATGTACCTTGCGAAAATAAGTATTTTCTTTTAACGCCCGTCCTGTCCCAATAAGGTTTGAATTTAGTTTCATGTCTTTTCTTTTATATCAGCTTTTATTCTTTTGCTTTCTTCTGCAGCGTTTTACTTTCCTCCAACAATAACGACTAAACGTATTTTTCAAGTTCAATTTCGAACGAACATGAATCCAAATTAAAGGGATAAAACGTTCAAATTATCCTTCAATTCTTTTCTTACGAAAAAAATCACATATTTAGCCATTACAATAATTGTTGACGTTGATACATTCACAATCAATAAAAAGTCAACATTTTTACCTCATTTTCCTCTACAAAAAAAAACAGTACATCTGTGAAGAACATAAATTATAGTAACAACCACCGACACAAACACTGTAAGGTCATGATTATCATGTTAAAAATAAAAATATCAACTTCTTTTTTATATGAACAAAGGGACACTTGTTATTTGTTAACACCAAACGATCCAAATAATTACATCCACATCCGTTTATGCTAATCTAATCCGTCATTTACTCCCTAATCTAATCATTAGAATATATGGTCGATTTTAAGCCAAAAAAACATACCAAGAATTGAGAAGAAAAAACAAAGAGAAAAAGCTAAATATATTTTATAGTTATATTCAATGAATTTAATTTCTTCTAAAAAAGTTTTGATTCCCACGATGGTGGTCGTGTCTACTTTACCCTACAAAATTAACTATTGCTTAAATAAAAGTTTATACTAACGTAATGATGCTACATCCCCCTAAAAAAAGCATAAAGTTCTCTTCAATATCTTAGTCATTGCATTATTTTATTATGAAAAATATTGACACTAGTACATTTTAGCAACTAACGAAGTAATTAAAAATGAAAATGATAATCAAAAGTTGGATTAAAGTGTTGAGTAGATAATCAAAAAATTAATATATCATTGAGCTGTAATGGCATGAAAATTAATTTTGTTATACCAAAAAAGGTTTCGTTTGGCAACTAATTAATTTGTTTATTTGCAATTATTATGAACAACTTGGTGCTTCTTTACATACGATATGAATATTAAGTAAAAATAAATAAATTGGGATGGGGTCCTTCTTGCTTAATTGAACTGTGCCAAGTAATAGTAATAGCTGGACCATAATGAAAATTGTACCTCTAGGCTTCGACTTAATTAGGTCCTCATTAATATTTATTCAGGTATAATTTTCTTTGATCATAGATCGACAAATGATTCATCCTTCGCTATTAAGATAGTAAAAATTAACAACGGACTAATTTTGTAGTTGAACAGAAAAAATTATTGATTTAATATCAGAATTTTTTGTCACCTACTAAACAAGGATACCAGGTCCAGTATGTACTTTGTCACATTAATTTTATGCAAAACTTTTTGTGGACTTTATTTTATATTATAGATAGTACATGAATCCGCACAAATATGGTTGTCGACCGGCCGAAAAATATTTGTCATGATGATCGACCTTCAAATGTAAAATATTAATTAAAATATTAACATATACTTTATTCCATCTCAATTCTAATGCTTAAAGGGGAATGACATGGAGTTTCTTTTTCCAACCCTTGCAACCAAACTTCAAATTTATCGGATACAAACAGGAAATAACATCGAGAGATATGATGAACTGGATGTGATTCTTCTATCTTTGTTTACAGATGTTGAATTCGAATCTTGAAATTGAGAAATCATATGAGAGAGTACTTACGTTATTAGATATATAGGTTTTAAATATCAAATGAAAAGATATTAATTTTAAAAAAGATCGTACTTTTTGAAGGTCTATTATTTTGGTTATTGGCTTAATATCAAATTATTATTATTTTGATTCTATCTTTGTAGAATATTTAGTTTTCAAAATTGTAAAATTGTAATTTAATAAAATCTTCAATTTTTTATATAAAGAAATATTTATTGGTGCGAATATAATCATGCCAAATATTCCTTAGGTAATTACTAAAGAATCTTAAATTATTCACTACATGACCACCTGCAATTTTTTTAATAAATGCACTAATTTTAAAGGGCAGAATATTATAAAAAATAAAATAAAAATCTAGATACTGATTGATTGTCCGGAGACTTCATGTGGATAACACGAATAAAAATGTTTTAAAGTATACTATAAAGAATAACAGAAATAAGTTAAAATATAATACAAACACTTGTATTGTCCTAAAATGGATTTATTTTTTTTGGGTACAATTAAAATTGAAAAACAGATATAAGTATATAGACGTGCCATCCATAAAGTATACATCACGATATATATTGGAAATTATAGGAAGGAGTATATTATTAAGTAATAAATAAATAATTATCAATTATTTTAAAACTATTAAATCTATTGTAGTGAAGCTCTCACATGTACACTTACGTGTCTAGACGTTTTCACTTACGACTATTGTACTCTTTTGACCAAGTTTACTCACAAATTTATTAAAAGTTATGACGGGATGTATAAGATATTTATCTTAGTAAATGATTCTAAGTTTGAGTTTTGAGTATAATTTTTGTTTATTAGGAAGTGTTTTTTTCTTAAAGAGTCTCGCAAGAACTAGTTTTTCAATATGAATATTAAATACCTAATCAGAACAATAAGAATATATTCAGTATAATTTCATGTATAGGCTTCGCTAAAGATAAAATTTACGCAGATCTTATTCTTATCTCTGTGAATTAGAGCGATTATTTTTGATAGATTTTCGATTCAAAAAGAAAGAAGATAATTGAAAAGGAGACAACAAAGTAGCAAGATACGAAATAAATGTACACAGATAATTGTACTCTTTAGTGTTACTATTATTCATACAAACAAGTGTATGCAAGAGGATTTTGGAAGTGAACATTTTATGCACAATAAAAAGTCATGTAAAATACACAATATATGAAACTCTTTTGTATTTTCAAAAATATTTTTCCAGAGAGAAATATATGTAACAAAATAATTTTCCAAGAGGAAATGAATAACAAAATTAAGGCAAAAAAAAAATACACAATCTTAAGTATTAACGGCGACTCATAGACATAGAATTAGCGACACTTTTTGAAACAGAATCCTGCAGCGATGGATTGAAACCTAAGCAACCCAATAAGCCCTGTTTGTATGGTAAAAATGTTTTCTTCTTCATTTCTTCTGATACTGCTCTGTTCATCGTGTAATGCAATTCATGGGCAGAAATGGGTCCTTTTTTTCTTGATCTAACACTCTCTGTTGATCTAAAGCTTGAATTTTTAACATCTTCTTCATCGGTTTTCTTCAACAATTCGTACTTGTTTAGTTGCTCTGTACTACTTGGTCGACCTTCTGAAGAACTTCGGAACAGCAATAAGTCTTTGATTTTCCATTTTTTGGACCAGAGTGAGATCATTGAAGAAACTGATGAAGACGAAGAGGACGAAGATGATGATGAAGAAGAAGAAGAAACAGAGGCGGATTTTTTTGTGTTTTCTTGATTGCTTTCGTGGTCAAATAATAAGTCGGAAACTTTCAAAGGCGATAAATTTGAAGAATTTTGTTGGGGTTTCTCTGTTCGGCTCTGTTTCTGTAAAGCTGTAACAAATGGGTCAAAATCTTTCTTTTTGTGTCGAGGAGAAAATGTTTCCATGAACGATTTCTTCGGGGATTTTGGAGAATCCATGTGTTTTCCTTCGTACTGAAACCGTGGAGGTGGTTTTAAAGGTTTAATCTTTCCGCAATCAAAGAGCTCATCAGCTGCTGATAGCGAAATCCTCTCCAATTGCCCACTGAAATCAAAAGCAAAATCTTCATCTGGGTTATCTTTCTCTTTTGGGATTTCTTCCCAATTGAATTCATCGTAAAGAGGGGAAATCCGAGTAGGACTAGCAGGTGCACTATAAAACAACGTGGCAGTACGTGGAGGACTTAATAGAGCACTCATGTACGGAGTAAAACAACCATTGTCGATGTTGAACGAAAGAGATGGTGGAAGAACAATCAGAGGGGAAGAGAAATGAAGAACAATGAAGGAGAAGTTTGCACGTGGAGGACTTGACGGAGCACTCATGTAAGGAGTAGTACAACCACTGTCGATGTTGAAATCCACCGGCGCCGGAGATTGCATCATCACCTCTTTTTCCATTTTATGCACACCAACTGTTCGATAATTTTCTTAAAGAGAAAATACTGAAAGTTTTAGTTTTAGAAAAACAGGGGAAGAGAGGAATTATATATAAGGAAAATGGGCCAATGACAGAGACAGAGTTGCCTTTTCTTATGTTTATTTTTATGGACTTTTTATGATCAGGACTCATTAACAACTACTTGTCAAATACCTATTTTACCCCTATTTGATTGTGATAAATATGTTGTGATTGAATTTGGGTTAGGGGTATTATTGTCCATTTAGTTAAAGGTGATGATAATCTTGATGTAAGAATCCGATTTTTTTGTGATTTTACCGTTTGATTTCCATTTTAAGTGTTTTTTTTCCTTTTTGTTTGAAGTTTAAATTAAAGGATAGAAAACTTATGATGATGAAAAAATTACGGCTAAGTTAAAGTCAGCTAAATGCAGCTAGTGGATATCAAGGCTGACATACACATAATAATCTTTTTTGCTAAATGAGGAAGAAAAATAAAGAAAGCAACAAGGATTAGAAAACAAAAGAAGAAAAGAAATGTGAAAAATGGAGTGTAATCAAATGCAACTTTCACTCAATAATGCAGATGAGTTCAAAGAATAAGAGGCTAAAAATGTCATTGATTTAAATCTAATCAATCTTTCGATCTCTTAAATAATTACTTAGTTGATATTCCTATATTTGATTTTCTTGTTGCAAACCAATTTTCAAACTTACATTTTTTTTCTCCTAAAAAATTTCAATGACAACGGTTACAGGAATATCACGGCGTGTATTAATGATGCCCATAATATCATGCACATTTTAACTACAACCGTACCCCCAAAAAAGAAGTCAAATTTGCAAATTTATTGATGGATTTATTAGGATCAAAACGCTGAGTACATATTTAGAAGGAAATTATTTGTGAAAACTCATTAAGAAAAACACCTTGGATTGGTTTCTCATTTTCTCCATTTCAATAAGTTTTAAAATTAATTTGTGATACTTATCCTATTTAAATATGAAAATGATTTCAAACTTCTTATTTTTTATAATTAACAACTGTCCTGACCATAATTAATAACACAAGTATTACCATTGTGTTTTTTTAACCTCTAGTTTCTTTGTACTTCTCTCGTTCCATATTAGAAGGGCATCTTACTAAAAATAGTTGTCTCATGTTGTATATTTTTTTTATGTGCATTAATATGAATAAAGGGCAAAATAGTAAAGTTGATCAGTGATCTATTGACGATTTCTTAATCATCGTGTAAAATAAAAAATATTCCTTTAATATGAAACGGAGGGAGTAATTTTTTCACGAGTCATAACTCAAAGCTGGTTGCATGAGTGTGTGAGCCACGTTGTGTGCACCATAACGCATTAGTTGATACTAGATACTAATGTTTTCTTTAAAAAAATAATTAATTAATTAACTCCATGCTTTGGAGAATTTTTGGTTAGCTGAGAATATATTAGGTACATAAATTGGTCTACATTCCATGTGAATGGTCTCTATCAATTATAATATTATCGTCTAACAAATGATTTACATTTTAGCTAGACCAGTACTATTCAGTTTTATGGATAACTTTTTAACTTTTCTAACATAGGTAATACTGAGAGCCACAAATTTAAGATTTTAAGTTTATAAAATAATAATTAAGCTCAAAGTCAAATATTTATATATATTTGGTTGATACTTATATGAAAGTATAAACTGATTTTTTTTTATAGAATTCACGTGAATCCGTAGATAGAAGACTGAATTCACCCTTCATTATTATAATAGTTTTTGCAGGTAAAAAAGAACAAGCTAAACAATACATGTAAATGAGAGATTTGATTTTGTAGCCTATTAATTATAAATTTGTTTTTAGAATTTTATATTTTTCTTACAAGAATTTTCCATTTTTACATGTATATATGATATCTGAAAATATCATTTTCTTCTATTCAATTGGCAAGTAGTCATAATAGATCATTTTCCAACTTATAATAATGTTTCATTTTCTTCTTTCTTTTTTTCATTCCTTAAGAAAAATTAGTGTTAGTACTCTCTTTGTTCACTCTTACTTGTCACGTTTCGCTTTTTCAGAGTCAAATTATATAGACTATAATCAACATTAACTATATTTTATCATTATATTAATATGAGAATAATTACAAATAATAACACTATTTAAATTTAAAATATTAAACTAATCATCTAATTTAATTTAATTTAAAGTTAATCTAATTAATTCTCGTAATATGAAAAATGAAGTAATATTATTAAACTGAAGCTTAGGAAGGAATGGAAAGATAGGAAGCTTGGAGAGCTAATGGAAAGAAATGCGTAAGAAATAACAGATCTGCGATAGAAGTCGAATACGATTAAGTAACTAGGGGCAAGATACAGACTTTAGAGCGTCAAGTCATACACAAACCGGAGTGACTTCACTACCTGAAGAAAGAAAGCTGCTTCGGCAGGGTCGAAGAAGACGTGTAAGACACCGAGGGGCCGGGGCTTCTTTATTGTAAGGCGTCTAGAAGCCCAATTTTTGGCTTTTTTGTCGTGTCTTATGGGCATGTTCACAAAGGAAAAGGCTCTCCATGGGCAGCGTCTGCTTCGGCGCAAAGCGAATAGGCTGGCAGTCTTGAAGCGAAGGAGAATTCTTTAACTGTTCGGTGTCGGCATCTTTTCCTACCTCTAACTGTTCTCCTAACCGGGCAAGGTAATCGGCTAACCGGGAATTCATCTTCAGAGCTAAGTCCCAAGGAGGCAGGTTGGAATGTACGGGCGTAGGTTAGCGTCTCGTCCTACGAATGATAGCCTTTGAAGGCCGCCCACGGGATGCGCTGTACGGTAGTAGTTTATGTTAGCTGCTTATCCGGTTTTGGTTCCTCTCTCATTTTGAAGGAAAACAAAACCATTGAATGGGTCGTGTGCAAGGATAGTCCCTAAAAAATTACTTAAATTTGGAAAAGAGCTGGTCATAAATTTATTGCGGGTCAATTTGGACATTACTCAAGTTAATCCGGTTAAAAGTTTGAGTACATGCATGAACGGGTCGGGTCATTCACAATTTTATTCTTATTTTGCATTTGTCTTTTTATGTATGAGTTTTATAATAAAAAAACAAAATTAATCAATTTTAAAAACAAAACAAGTTACAGATAAATGTTCATGATTTAAATGATCAATAATTAGGTTATGATTGATTATTTGATCAAATCAACCAAATCCATAAACAGATTACAGTTTATCTATTCTATCATTTTAACCTATAGAAATTTAGTCTAACATATCCATTTAATATTCATGTCGATACTTGGAACCAAGCCATCAAAAAACTATAGACTATGAATAATAAAGTCATGACTTTCTAAAAAAATAAATATAAGTTAGGTAATCACGTCGAAAAACAAAAGTTGATTTGGAATTTTGACTATCACAGCCTCATTCTGCACCCACTTGACTTGTGTTTAATAACCTTTTATTTTCAACCTTCCAATTTGTTTTACAAAATTATAGTCTTTCTCCAATTTAATTTAAATTATAGAATATTCCTACTCCTCTTTACCCAAATATTTATTTCCCATAGGACATTTTCATAAATAGTGGCGTCTAAACTTTCACAAATTGGCAGCTGAGTACGTCTAGATAATCGTGGTTTGACCAAAAAATAATTAAATACTATGTTAATTCGGTGATTAAACTAAAACATACTCGAAAACGTGATCATAAACGATCGTTTACTGATTCTAGCCGTTAAATTTGGAATAAATTCAGTGTACACACATGTACCTATACATAGAGATAGTAAAATTAGTGCATAATCAGTCCAATTCGTTTAAATTTGAGTTCATTATTGATCCGTTCATTTCAATTCAACTCATTTCAATCCGTTTGGATTAATATCTATATATACTCTAGCACAAATTAATTTATGAAAAATCTTGTCAAAATATTTTTATTTATTTATTTAATATGTTTTATATATATATA